CCCCAAAACCCCAAAACCCCAAAACCCCAGCACTCTGGATAGATTCTTTATAAAAATGGGTTTAAATTAAACAACATGAATTCAAGATTAATTTGATAAAATATACTCTGTAATTTATTAGATTATTACAAAAATATTAATTTTCGTAAAGATTATTATGGAATTAATGAGTTCTAGCTTACTTCCCCCTATTGTATTTAAATTTGACATCTAATCTTCAATTCAATCTTAGACAATCAACAAACCCTATTTCTCCTAGAATAGACGCTATGCTAGTCTGGAACCGATGGAAAGAGCAAAAAGACTGGGAGGACCTCCACCTGTTGAACTTTTATATAATGGAAATTATGTTCCTCCCGATGGTGTTAGCAGAGTAGACCTGGTAGATTCCTATAAATCATAGCTAAATTTATTGAATTCTCTGGGAAATGGACACTATGTCACTCGAAATTTAGTATTAAAATTTATTAACAAAGTAATAGAGGTAGTCAGAGCCTGTGTTTAACTAGTATTTGTCTTATGATATGCAAGAAGAGGCAAAAAAAGCTAAAATGAAAAAGGTAAGTCTAATTGATCTAAATATAGTCTATCTTAAAATGGAACTTTGTAACTTCTTCTAACATCAATATTTTAGTTTAATAAGAAACTAAAAAAAATCAAAAGAGACCTTGTGGTTTTTCAAAAATAAAGTCCAGAGCCAGATCACTAGACTTCTCAGGACTTTGAATCTGATTTTGTTCGTAAAATGAATATGCATAGAAGTATTAGTCAGTTGTAAAATGAAAATGCACTTTTAAGAGATCAACTCAGATCATCGATGCATAGAGATCCTCCTGAAGCAGCTGACAAAGATTAGAATAAATGGAAAAAATACTATAAAGATAGGTATTAGGCAAATACAGTCAAGTAAAAGATGCATGGTCTGCACTAGATGATTGAGAATAAAGATATATAACTAAATAATAGAATCGCCTATGAAAACGTACATAAACTATCTCCTTTAGCGCCTTTTACTCTCCCTTCAAATCCCTACAATCCTCTGAACCCTATTTATGGCATGAGTCCACTCGGAGGATCATTTAATGGTGCTATTTCTTACAATACCTTGGGGTACAATAACAACCCATATTATATGCAAAGAAACCCAACGTATGATTATCTTCAAGTGCAGAATAAACTCCTTTTAGATAGTTTTGATGATTTTTATGATGAAATGGCGGTGCCAGAAAAAATAACAGATAGTGTTCCTAATAAAACATATAAAAGTTTATTTGCAAACAAACGTTGATTATTATTAGTATTCATTGGTGTGAATTTTAATTTCTATTAATTTTACTATTGACTTAAACACTCTTAAATCTAGCTCATGGGGTTTTGGGGTTTTGGGGTTTTGGGG